GGCGTCTCGATCGTGGTCCGTTACTCTAGAACTACTGATGGGAGGAAGATGCTGTTTTCTCTGCAATACCCCTGTGTGGTGCGTGCCCGGCTGGAGTGGCTGCTGCTGCCTGGGGTTACGCTCGCGTGTGGGGCACCAGCAGGGCCCTGGGCCGCGGGAGGAGCTGCAGGCTTGCCGTGTTGGGTGACCTTTGATCTGTCGTGTTGCCATGTTCTTTCCGACCATTACTGCTGACTTTACAATAACCTTTCTCCATACTGCTGATGATCAACAGTGTGACTCTTATGCACTTCCAAGTACTGAATCCTAACTGTCCTGTGGTTTAAATGTTATTGCTACTTCATGGAAACATTGAACTCAAATTATTCACTTTGGTTTGTTGTACTCACTAATAGTAGCTACCACCGTTTTGCTTCTTCTACGTATATGCAGTACTATAACTGACACAATAGAGTAATAATTGGTGAAGAGGAATTTATGGTAGCTTCATCTAGTGCTCTGTTGTATAAATCGACTATTTTAGCACAGTTTTTAAAGAGCAGATTCCTTTTGACAAGTTTACAGTGAACATAAAGACAGTTCTTTTTCCATTTCAGGTCAACTGCACTTTTTAAAAATTAAAAAAGAAATTACTCAAATCCAATGCATCCTAGTGCATGTACTGGGTTCAAGTGTCTGGGTACCTCGGTACGTACTCTGGATCACTCTTCAGTTATGGGACTTGCGGATCCTTCTCTGTTGTACACAAAAACATTCAGTGTGTTCTCATAGCGTAGATACCCCAGACTTTCACCGTAGCTCAGCACAGGAGGTTCACGCACACGTCACGCGGCTCGGCTTGCAAAAGGAGGTTTAATTTTCTTTTCTAGAGAGTTCAAGCTGTTCACGTTGAAAACAGTCTGAGAATACTGAGGATGGAACTGACAAAGCGAGCTGATCAAATGCCAGATTGGTGTTAATTCTGCTTGAGACATCAGTCGTGTCACGTGGAAACTCTTGCTAAAGTAAAGCTGTAATCTGCTAGACGACTCGGAGTGGAGTCAGCCCTGCCCTGGTTGTCGGGATGTTCTGTACGAGATAGGTCAGGGCTGAATTTAAGCTTTTTTTTCGGATTCAGTGAACACCGTAGAGAACGTTTTCTGCCCGGCTGGGGTGGTACAGCTCTCGTGGTCCCTAAGGACGATGGGAATTGCATCTGTGTAAGCGGGGACAGAAGTTGCCCCAGCAGCTTCCTCTGCCTGCACAGTCTGCCTCGCGCTGCTGACGGGTACCACAGAGTTCCAGACCCGTTTCCTTGTAGAAAAGTACAAATTGGCAAAATCAGGACATTTATTTTGCAAGTATTTCTTTGTCCTGAACACACTTGGAATAAAATCGGAGGGATTTGCTTCTAGGAGTGGGAGTGGCTTAACTCTGCCTGGCCCGTGCCTTCCCAGCCGCGCGAGCTCTGTCTGACCACCCGGTAACAGGAAAAACGCGTTTTGGAAAATACCCCCCGTGAGTCAGGTGATACCCTTTAATGATTTATTTTTCCTCCTTTTATTTTTCAAATTGCTCTGTATAAAGAGCACCAGTTCCTATGTCGTTCTGACTGGTGAGGGATGTTTAGCCTCTCGGCATCCTCTGTAAGGAGTAGCGGTGGTGTTTGCTGAGGTTTGGAGCAGAAAACGTCTCATCCTGCCGGCGCTGGCTCTGCCCGGGATGCTGAGCTTCCCCCACAACACCATGCACTGCACTCATTTTGCTTCTTGATTTGGGAAAAAAACCCCTCAGATGGCGATAAAAGCTGCTCTCAGTTCTCATGTAACTCGTTTGTACTCTCCTAGTTCGTTACCCGTTCCATTCTGCTCTCTCAGTTATTTTCCATGATGTTTTTTTTAACTCTAAACCCTTACGGGCAGAGTTTTGCCGGTGTCCGGTGCCGCGGATCCGGAGGAGCGGAGGGACAGATCCGCAGTTGGGACGTTGTGCCTCAAAACCAGAGATTCTGTACGAAATGAAGGCTGCCTGTTGATTTATGGAATTACGTGGATCCCAACCGCGTTGGGACGCCCCTAGAACGTGCTCCTTAGCGTGGTCCTTATCGCTTCGTCAGCACAGCCGGGGGAATAGCGGGAGATCGGTTTTGCTTCCCTCAACTGATTTATCAACAATTTAGAAAAGCTTTGGCGTGGGACTGTGCTGTTAGGAGAGAAGGAGAGATTCCTGTAGCGGAAAAACTCCCGTGTGGGAAGTTGGGATCCCAGTAACAACTGGGGTTCTGTGTGGAAGAGACTGGGTCTGCTGGTGTGCAGGGAGAGCTGGGATTCCACCCTCCAAAGCAAGCTGTTAGTTACTGCTCCAGGCTGATCTGGTTTAGGTACCAGATTCTCTCAAGTTTTGGGTTTTTTTTTTTGGACAAAGGTTCTTGCTGGTGTTACTTTACGTGAGGATCTTCAGCTGTATGTGTAGAAAATCTCGTGGAACGCAGGGAGTGTAAGGCACAGCGTTGTCTTTTACGCGTTTTGACCGCCTTTGTAGGGCTTTTGTATTTTAATGTTTCAGGGAAGTAAAGATAAAAGAAATCAGAGCTTCGGGCATCAACAGAGCCGAGTGAATGATTAAACGCAGATTTTGAAAATTATCTGAATGTCCTTTAAAATAAAATCAGCCATACTGAAGGCGTAAGCATGTAGGGGAATTGTTTCTTACATTTCAAAATAGAGAATTACACGCCAGATAGAGCCACGTTACACCTCCCCTGACACATCCACATGCCTTCAGAGCTGCGGGGATTATATTCTAATTATTCTTTGTCTCTGACGTGCGAGCTGACACATGCTGTAAGACTAGATCCTGGAAAGCGAGTGCGTGAGTGACGTGGTGGCAGGAAGGTCTGTGATTTCTGCAGGAGCTGGGCTCGGGGCTCACAGGGACTGTCAGCGCTGCTGCTCTGTTCCACGTGGCTTTTGCCTTTCCCTCCCATTTTTGATACGTGGGAGTTGCTGTAAGTTAATGTCTCACTTCAGGAATTAGGGATACAGCAAGCTGTGGCCGAAATCAGACTTTTAGGAGTTGAAATTTAAGGGCAGGAAAAAGCAAAGCGGCCGCTACTCCTGCTGCGAGCAGAGTGTGGCCGAGTTGCTGGGCACGGTGCTGTGCAGTGTCCCCGGGCACCGTGTCGGCCGAGAGGTCCCGTCTCTGCAGGTGTAAATCAGGCAGTTTTTATTGCTCAAATTTATTTGGCAGTTATTTTGCAAATTCATGAAGCTCTTAAGGGACATTTAGTAATTCTTTTGAAATCCTTCGTCAAAGGGTAGGCTCTCCAGTTTGCGAAGGGTAAAAGCTTCTTCACAGTGGTTGTGCTTGAGCCGAGTCTTGTCGCTGGTCGAGCGGAGTCCACGGCTGCAGCCTCCCGAGTTACTTTTCCCCCCGCTGCCGTGAGAGGAGCCTGGCCGGTGCGCGTACGGGCGCGGATCCGCCTTGCTGTGACGTTCCTGGTGCGTTGTCCCCGTCAGGCTCCCAGCTCGCTGGTGGCAGCAGGAGGTGGGAGCCTGGCAGGTGGGGACAGCGGAGCTGGGCCCCGGGAGACATGCGGCAGCTTGGTGCTGGTCAGACGTTCCTCGCTCCAGCAGCGCTCCTGTAGAAATGAGGCAGAATTTTCTTCTCCCGCTTCTGTCGCGGGCAAAAAAAAAAAGGCAAATAGGATCATCAGGTCGGTTTTGGTTTTAAGGTGACGGCAGGCGGTTGTGGTCGGGTGCGTGGGTAAGAGGACAGGCTGTGAGTTAGGCTTCGCTTTTAGCACCATTGTCTGAGGCACGGTCCCGCGCGAGCGGGTGCTGTGGGTGCCCCGGGACCCCCTCGAGGGGCTGGTGCTGTCCGGCAGCGCGGCCCCCGCGGCAGGACCGAGCCCCCGGCACGTGGGGTGACTCGGGCATCGGGCCCCAGTCAGCTGGCTGGTGAGAAGCAGGACGGACGCGTGGGGCTCCGCGCATCGCTCTGTCCCGCACAGCCGATCCCGTCCGGACCGGGTCCTTCCCGGTGCAGCCACGCGGCAGCGATGCGGTTAATTTAACTCGGAAATGCTCGCGCTCTAAATATATGTGGAGGAAGGACTATTTTGAAGTGTACAGTAGGAAGTAAATAATTCTAGTTGTGTTGATTAATATAAGGAATGAGTCAATTCTACAAATCAAAGAAAAAAAAATCTGAAAAGCGTATTTTGAAAAAAGCATAGTATTAATTTTAATATTGTAAAAAAAGGAAAATATCTAAAATATACAGAGAACATATGTATATCCAAATGTCTGAGGAATTTCAAGATAATCTACTTTTGTTTTCTGTTGATTTCTATTCCATGGTGTACATATTGTGTGGGTTGAACATTGGCTGTTTTAATACTATTGTTAAATTGTATTTTTATTTTGTGTTAAACTAATCATCACAGACTCAGCTTTATTTTGTTTATGTAAAGGTTGCTATGCTATGTAGGTATAAAACCAAGAATTCTATTTTAACAAAAAAGCATTTTATATTATTTATTAAATACATGTTTCTCCAACTTCTGACATTCCACAGAATTTCTGCTCCGTATATGTATAGAAATGGCAGTTCCTTTCAAGCAGGATCAGTCAGCTTTATTCTGTTTTTCATAATAAAGTCGAAATAGTTTCCATCGGTCTGTCCAGCTTTACCCTTCTGTTGCGAGCACAGCCACCTCCAGGCCCCGTCAGGACCATCTCGAAGTGCAGTGGCTCGTCAAGGCAGAAACATCCGAAAACCTCTTGCAAGTAAACCCCCCAGTTTGACATTTCTAAATTCCCCCATTACAGCGTTCCGGAGAGCGAGCTTGTATTCTCTTGCGTCTGCGCTGGGTTAACGAGAATTAACGACCTTAAACTGGGGCAGGGAATCAGCTCGATACTTGAAAAAGCTCAGGCATCGGCTCAGACATTTGCAGAGCTCTTTAATTCTGAGGTCAATGAGCGAGGGGACTGGGGAGCCCGGAGGGGCCGCGGAGTTTGGGCGCTGGAGCAGAGCCTGACGCGGGGCTGGTTGTGGGCGTAGGGCTGGTGTCGATGGTGCCAAAAGCACATTTACTGGGAGCGATTTTTGCCGTTTCAGGGTGCCTGTTTAGGCCTTAGGCTGGAGCCCGCGAAGGTGGGAGAGGCGCCCTGCGGTGCCTCGGGGAGCCGGGCGGCCAGGGCTCTGCTCACCACCCCGAGGAGGGGAGCGGGCACCCCCAGGGGGGCGTCGGGAAGGGGAGCCCGCACTCCCCGAGCAACCACCTTGGGTGCTGCGGGGAACCAGCGCGGGCCCCTCGGGCCCCAGCGAGGTACGGAAATAGCGCGGAATTCATCGGGTAACTCACCTGCTAAAAATAATTCCAGTTGCAGCCGCGGCCTCTGCGGCGGGAGGAATGCTCCAGGTACTCGAGCCCCTGTGCTTTGCACTTCCACGCTGCCGGGGCCGAGCACGTGCCCTTCCCGGCTTCACCCAACGGCGCTCAAATTTGGCGTTTGCCAGCCGGTGCCGCTGGAGCCGCCGCTTGCTGAGGCGCTGCCCGCGGCGGGGAGGGGCTGCCTGCTTTTCCCCCCGCAGTAGTTCTTGCCTCGTTTTCCCTTTGCCCCTCCTCACGCCTGCCCCATCGCCTTTTCTTTCGGCAGCGCTGAGCCGCTCTGCCCCGGAGCAGCCGGAGGGAGGGAGAGGCCAGCGGCGGGACGAGGCCGGTGCCATCGCGGTTCCTTGGCATCACCCGCCAGAAACGTGCCGCGAGGGGACAGGGCCGAGCC